AAAAAAAAAACGCTTGAAAAACGAGAGAAAGGAAAACCGTAGTAAGTTTTTCAACAAGACCTGGATACTACATATAAAATTGTTAAAGGAAAGAAAAAGAGAGTAAAAATTCAGAATTAGTCCCGTTCAAGAAATGGAATCTTACCTGAACAAATCATTTTTATCAACGATCTTGGTGTCACAACCGCGGCAACACAAGACGGTACACTGAAATCAAGACAAAAAAAAAACTGTAACAGGCGTTATAAAGCTGAATACTGTCTGATACTTGGTGCAAGGATTTGGAAGGAGTAAAACCATGCTGTAAATCATCAGATGGTGGTATTCACCGTTTGTTTTAACAATACTTAAAAGTTACACAAGGATTCCAAAAAAACAGAATATCCAAAGTTATAACCCATAACATATTTTTGTTTGCATGAGATTGGTCTAAAAGCATCATGTGACTGAATATACCCCAGCTAAAACTGGAGAATATGTGAGTGATATTACCCAACTTATGAGAACCCACCTATTGCAAAAAATATCTGAAGGACAATAAACACAATAAACACATTTGACTTTAAAAAAGATGTTCCGAGAAACAAACAGTTTTTCCAGAGCAAAGACAGTGAGCTTTGAGGAACAGATAATATCCAAAGACAAATATCCGAGGATATTTTTGTGCAAATGGAGATTGTACTTCAATACAAACAGGGTGAAAATAAAAAAACTCAGTTAAACAAAATGAATGTGTATGTTACACAGTGGTACATTAAGTTCAGAAAAAAAAAACATTCTTGACAAGAAACAGGAGATTTACAGGTTTGTAAAGATACCATGTATTAAATTACCTTTCGCACAATTTCAAGCTCCTTTCGCAATCTCTCAGTAGCACAGTTGATGCTTAGTATTTGAAGTCTTAGGCTGTCATCCAAAGGCATGTTGGCTGCTACCCAAAATGAGAAATCTACAAAAAAACACCATATATCGCATCCTCCACTAGACCAGTAGATAAAAGAGCCACATGACGATTTGTGGATCGTGAAAAGTTTAACCCACATTTTTCAAGTTTGTCGTTTGTAATCTGTGTTAGTCTTCTCCATCCTTAACCATTCTTGTTCCTTTATGGTTTATTATTACCTCTTTGGTGTTTTTCTTTCTCAGTAAACTACTATTTTCAGGTTTCCTTCAATTTAAAGGTAATTTAGCACATGGTAAAAATAACTCAAAATACCATGGCTAAGCTCCTATAATACAAAGGTGAATCTAAATAAGTTACAGCTGTAATGTACAGTATGTTTGTCAGTTGCAAAGTACCCACATAAAAAGAGCTTAACAAAATTGGTCACATCACTGTCTTGTTACCATGTTGCTATACAACATCCCTATGATGTGTGAATATCTNATGCTTAGTATTTGAAGTCTTAGGCTGTCATCCAAAGGCATGTTGGCTGCTACCCAAAATGAGAAATCTAAAAAAAAGACCACATATTGTATCTTTCACTAGACCAGTAGATAAAAGAGCTACATGACGATTTGTGCATCGTGAAAAGTTTAGCTCACATTTTTCAAGTTTGTTGTTTGTAATCTGTGTAAATCTTCTCCATCCTTAACCATTCTTGTTCCTTTATGGTTTATTATTACCTCTTTGGTGTTTTTCTGTCTTAGTAAACTACTATTTTCAGGTTTCCTTCAATTTAAAGGTAATTTAGCACGTGGTAAAAATAACTCAAAATACCGTGGCTAAGCTCCTATAATACAAAGGTGAATCTAAATAAGTTACAGCAACCTACAGTATGTTTGTCAGTTGCAAAGTACCCACATAAAAAGAGCTTAACAAAATTGGTCACATCACTGTCTTGTTACCATGTTGCTATGCAACATCCCTATGATGTGTGAATATCTCACNAAATAGAATCAGAAAATATGATGACAAATAAGAACACTTAAAGACCACTGTCTTGAAGAATTCTTAACTTGGCCAAACAAACAGAAAAACTGTTAAAACTGGGATGTTTTGTAAGAATGAAAATTTTGAGAGCAATAACCTGGTGATTACAAACTTACTGGATTGTACAGTTGATACACCCATCCTGGCCATGAGCTTAGACTGGTGGCTACCTAGAGAAATAAAACATTTCTACACTTATTTGTTTTCCTGAGGAATAAAAGCAAGTTTAAGTAACTATTATAGGGTCTCTTGGGCATGAGTAGCTTCATAGTTTCTTTCCTCAGCAACCATTTTTTAAACACTCAGCTTAAAACTTCCTGCTTTAAGCAAGTCCATTCTTGTTCTTAGCATTTGGTGTCTATGCCATTACTGTAGAATATTTCTAGCTCTCCTGTTATGTTTTGGGGTCATTACATTTAGTTTCCAATTTTTTGCAGAAATGAGATTATGCATCTGTCAACTCTCAGATACTAAAATGTTTGAACGATGTTTCTGTTTTGGTTTGAGTTGGAAGGGGAACATTTAAAGGGCAAAATTTTAGATGGCGAAAAAGGGTCAGAATAAGTGGTGAGGATACTGTGATGAGGTCAACTCTAAACTATATGGATTCTTAAGAAGAATCTGATAGACATCACAAATTCTTCAGACACCTCACCCTCATTGTGGAAGCTCACCTTTTGGTATCTGGTCTTCCCTAGTCGGTTTTTTCCTGAAGAAACCTGGTACGGTTTTTCGAGGCTGCCAGCAGTGGTTGCCTGGCAACCAAACTTATGATAACAGGACCAAAGTGCACCTTCAGGATGAGAGGGTAGGTTGATTTCTGGTAAGACATGTACTGTGGCCTGTAATACACTGTAAGGAGAAAAGAGTGAAGAAATACACTGATGCTGATAAATGCTTGCTGTAAATCCTAAAGTCCATTAGCACACGACACTTAAATAACCTTCAAGAATTATGCACATTTGTCCTAGCAAACCACAGTTATTTTAGGCCTTAATTTCAGCAATGTTGAATAAACTACTGAAGTTAAAGACCCATTGCTTGGGGAATTTTGATTGGATCAAAAATGTGTAAGGTATTTCAACCCACCCATCAACTTGTCTACGCAATTCTTTAATTCTAAATCTCTGTCTGCCTGTAGCTTTGATTCGTAGTGTTACAATTCCTCCANTGAATGCCGGTTCAGAAAACAAATGTGGATCTGGATCAATCCTTTCACTTCCAGGAGTGATCGATATATAAATATACATTTCTTCACATGTACCTTAGAACCTTAAGCTGAAAGTTCTCCACTTAATGGAATACAGGTGTCAAAAATCGTATTTTTGGCGTAAGACGCACGCTGAAAATCATCATTGAAATTTGCAGCCAACCAAACAATAATTTATCTAATTCCTCGTTGCTTCCTTCAGCCATTTCCCTCACACAATAAAATTACCTGCAGAATCACTGGTATCTGATCCAGAATTGCCGCCAAGGTAAAGTTCCAGTTCACCATCGTAGCCATTTTGAACGTTTAGCTCTTCATCTGAAGACTCGTCCGCCATGTTTGTTTTGGTTGTGAATCGACAGCAAAGGCTTGTGGGAGATAAAGGCGGAAGTCAACGTCATCCCTACAAATTGACCAATCACGTAACGCTTCGTATACTCAAGCCTAAAGGAGTCTTCTATCAAACTACACGTTAGCTTGGAAATTAATCTCAGCAGAACTGCCTTTGGTCTGTGTTTAAGCTTGGACATTGTTCAGTTATTGATTGTTGGCTTGCTTACTTGAAGATTGAAGGACAATGAATTGCGACAATCTTATTCTACTAGTTACGGCAGCATTCAGCATTCTTGTTATCGATTTGGCACTTGCCAAGGACTATTACAAAATTTTGGGAGTACCGAGAGATGCCAACGACAGACAGATCAAAAAAGCGTTTAGAAAGCTTGCTGTGAAATATCATCCCGATAAAAATAAGGCTAAAGATGCAGAGGCAAAATTCCGCGAAATTGCTGAAGGTAGGTAGATATTGAGACGTCTATTACACTCTTGAAGTTGCGTTTAATATCCTTTCACCTCGATCTCTAGCAAGAGAGAGAAAAACAAAAATATTGAGCAGGAATGTACAGTACGAGTAGTCGTTCATTAATTTTCTTGCTGTTTCTTCATTTTGAACTATTGAAAACGAGCAATGATATTTTGTTGTAAACGGATTGTGAATTTGGAAAATTCAGTCTTCTCAAAATTTGAACCCGTGTCTTTTCCATGACTTCCATGGAAATTGACATTGATTTGATTAAGTGTCATCCTTTCTTTTTGACATTTATCAGGGAAACGAAACTGCTTCCTTTTTTTCTTAGAAAAGATGCCTTTTGAAGGTTCCTCATGCGTTGAAACTTGTAATTCCTTTTAATTGCAGTTTTGTTTACATTACAGCGTGCTTGTGGATTGCACAACAATCTCTGGTACATTTCCCATTTTGCTTGTCAATTCTAGTGTGGATTGCCAGTCGTTGGGTTCATATTGCTTAATTGAGCATGCTATTTTCTACTCTTAACAAATTAAAATGGTTTAAGACTGGCATGATAGTAAACCAAGGAATTGCAGCTTTGTTTACAATAAACTGGGTCACTGTTTCTCGGCAAAATTGTCAGATTTGTCACTTTCTCAGTGTCCTTTCAGTGTATGTAATATATCTCAATTACATAGTACATGTCCATGTGATGTTACAACCCAAAAACTGAGTACATTCTTCGCAATTGGGACCAGACATAAGAACAGTTATGGCGACTTGAAATCTCGAGCCCATGTATTAAATATTTGTTTCTATAACAAGTCTATATTAGTCTTAAAATTTAAAAGGTAAATCACCGTCAGACTTATAAGGACTATGCGCTATAGTGAAACTTAAGTTTGATATACTACATGTAGATAAAGTGTTTTTACCTTGAGGAGAAAAATATACAGACATCAGAGCTTTAGGACATGTACTTTTAGGCTCTACAAATCGGAGTCTCAGTACTGGAAAGTTGAAAATTACGTTGAAAAAGTCTGGATTTCAGGTCCCTGTTTCCTTCCTTGTAAGAAGATCCTGCTCATTTATTATATCCCTGTAGGTCATTATTCAAAGTCAGTTATTTTGAATTCCCTGTCATTTTGAATTTAAAACCAACCTTGGATTTGCCCTTCAGTCATCTACTATTGGCTATTTCAAACTCCTGCTATTTCGAGCTATTTTTCATTTCCCTTGAGAGTTTGAAATAGCAAGGTACAGCTGTACACATGATAAGTATTATTACTCTTATACTTTCAGCATATGAAGTACTATCAGATGAGAACAAGCGGCGTGATTATGATCAGTTTGGTTCTGAAGGAATGAATGATAATGGCTTCAACTTCCGTCAGGGTGGAAGTTTTAAAAGCTTTGATGACTTGTTTAAAGATTTTGACTTTGGTTTTGGAAGTGGACAAGGAAATGGTTTTAAGTTTTCATTTGGAGGTGGATTTGATGATTTCTTTGGTGATGACGATGAGGATGAAGAGGAGGATGATTTTTTTGGTGGATTTAAATTTGGTGGTTTTGGAGACTCATTCTTTGGTGAGGAAAACTTCCATAATAGCAGACAAAGGGAAGATTTATATTCAAGTGACAGAGGAGACAGGGTTCACAGAAATGTCAGACATGAAGAGTTTCGCCAAACAAGTAAGTAAATAAAAAAAAAAATGTGTACCTTAATAAATAAATAAATAAATAAATAAATAAATAAATAAAATAAATTAACTTTGTTTAACGAGGGTAACACACAACAGTCTTACGACTGACAAACCTGTGGCCCTTGAATTTCCAATCGAATAGTAGTAATTAACACTTGACATGTGTAATATGGGTAAAGCAATAAGCATCAAAGTCAGCAAGTGGAAATCTTCAGATTGCTTTTACACTCACGACAAGTGGAGGATGGGAATTCAATTCAAGTTGTGTCTCACCTATCCTACCAACAGTCATGTCCAAATTTAATGTGACAGTCTTGATTAAACACGTGAAGGTGCAGTGGCATAACAGTTTGTGCACTGGGGCCCGTTTCAGGAAGGTCCTGAAACGTTTTTGCACCCGGAAAGCAGTAGCAAAATCTCAAACCTTATGATTATGGAGCTGTTTTGTTCATGTTAATATGGACAGAGGTTCTCTTCATACAAGGAGTCTCAGGCGTGTACACCTCTCTGTTTTTAGATACAGATTATCTAAAAATGGCTTTGCAGGCCCGAAAAGTTTCTGGGGCTTTCAAGAAACAGGCCCCACGAGTCTGGATGGAGTGGTCCAGGTTCA